TACAGTCAGTACACATTTGTTGTTCAGGAATTAGTCCTCTAATGTCTAAAGTATACAGTTATTAATACCAGTTTCTACCTTTACTAAAAAGCAGAACAGCTGAACTATCTGGCTGCCAGCTTACTGTGCAAAGTATTAAAGCCTGACTGGCTGCTTCCCCTTCCTGTTCTAGTCTGAATCTTGTTGTACAAGGAACTGCTAAAGACTGATATAAAAGAACAAACTGAGGCACTGTTTAAAAAATATATTTAGGTAGGTTAATAATGCATATATAACTGGGTTAACAGTGGTATCTTATATCTGACTACATATCAGACCTAACATGTACAGAGAAAAATATGTAAGCTACTACTGTAAAGCAAATATGTTGCGCCCGGTCTATGTGAACCAACTACACACATAGACCGAGCGCAACATATTTGCTTTACATTTGTTCACCCATACACATTGTTGCGGCTGGTCCAATCAGGTAGTTAGGCACGCATTCCCAGCGCAGTGATTTCTGTGATATAATGTAAGTTACTATTGCCAAGCAAAACGCATAAACATTAAATTGTCAGGATTCTGGTGTGAACAAGCCCTGAACTAAGCCTGATCACATATGCAGCCAAGGAAATCATAGTCGGGTCAATACACCTGACTTTCAAAGTTGTTCCTGGTCAAAAACACTGAAATTGAGGCTGTTGGTTCAGCATGACATCCATATCATCTGCACTGAAATAAACCACAGTGCATTATTCACATACACTATCAATATCTCTTTGTAAGAATAGTACAATACCGATTGTACTTACATTCAGGTTCCCTAACATCTGTTACAATATTCCCACTACCAACTGCTTATCAAAGGCAAAAAAGAAAAAAAAAGAAGTGTTATAATGTTCTTTTAAAGGCCATTGCCAAACAATTTGAAAATACAAGGCAAGAATAAAAAGTTATAATGCACAATCACAGATGGGACCAATTAGAAATGTTAGAAATTAAATATTTAAAAAAAAGGCAAAAAATGTATTCTCTTTCAAAAAAGCAACCTACATAGAGGCTCAATCCTAATTTGGCTGCAAAAGTGGAAATACACTTCAGTGTTATGAAAACCTAGTTTCTATGTATAATTTGTATATGCACAGTTAAATGGCCGCTGCTGCTGTTTTGCCTTTTTGTTGTCAATCTTTACTCCTCTATGTGGACACACAAGGGGTTAAAGCAGAACTCCAGGCAAACATTTTTTTCTTAAAATCTGCTGTGTAAAAAAAAAAAAACCTCACGAAGTGTATGCCACTTTGAAGATCACTGCCCTTTCTTTAGCATTTCCAAATGTATTCATGTCGGATTGGCTAGCTTTCGCTGTACTTACAACGCTGCAATAATGAACTCTGCGGCTCTCATACACAGAAGCTGAACTGTTGTTTATCTTTCCCTCCTCTCCCCTTGTCCATTGACAAAACACCTTATATTTTGTGAACCAGTCACAAACTACAAGGCGTTCTGAAAAAGGACAAGGGGAGAGGAGGGAAAGATAAACAACAGTTCAGCTTCTGTGTATGAGAGCCACAGCTGTCATAGTCGCAGCACTGCAAGTATAGCGACAGTTATGCAATCCGGAATGAATAAAGTTGTAAATAGTAAAGACAGGTCAGCAGTTCTATGTGCGACATACACTTTTTTTTTTCTTTTTTTTTTAACAGGAGACTTGTGGAAAAAAATTTTTGCCTAGACTTCTGGTTTAACACAGGCAAGAACATTGGCTTACATACGAAGACTACCTTTCTGGATGGGCTAATACCTATGCCCGAATGACAGCTGCATTTATCCATAAAGACAAATAAAGATTGTTATATTATTTCAAACCTGAGGCATGGTCAGTTGCTCAGCCACTGAGTGCCAAGTTAGAAAACTGCAGCTGAACGCTAGGCTGCAAGTAAGCGCTTAGCACTCGCAGCGGAAGTGAATGTGGATGCAGAGCACTGAGTCTGACGGAGAACCTGGGGACAGAGCACCAGCAGCCATTTTAACAGTGGGCACACCTGGCAGCGCTGCAGAAAGGTGACTTTACCCTGATGGAGGAAATCAATTCAATTTAATGTTTTGGCGAAGGAGCACACAAAATATTTGTTGGAAAATTGTATTAGTCAAAAATATTATCTTCCGCCCTCAGGGGCAGGGCCCTCCTTACCATCTTGTCTTAATTTGTATTGTGATTGTAATGTCTTCCTTATTTTGTAAAGCGCTGCGCAAACTGTTGGCGCTATATAAATCCTATATAATAATAATTTTGCTTAGCACTGTGCAGCCAAAGCGTTCAGTGAAGCTGCGGCAAACAGAAGTGCTACAGAACAGCTACTCAGCACTTGGCTAAGGAACTGAACACACCTGCTGCAAAAGAGTCAAATAGCAAACTGCATCAATAGATGGCACTCACTGACTTTTCTGAATGTGCCTTAAGAACAACTGAACTCAAAGGGGGGATTTTTAAAAATGGGAGCAGACAGAATCTGGAACAGCTGTTCATGGCAACCAATCAGCTTCTCTCTTTAGTTTGTTCAGTTAAAATTTGAAAATGAAAGAGAGAAGCTGCTTGGTTGCCATGGACAGCTGCTCCAAATTCCCTTTATAGTCTTTAGGCAGAGAATGATAATCAGATCACTCAAAGAAGAAGTCTCATCAAACTTGTATATAGTCCCTCCTGTCCCCCGGGGTACAAAATGCATGTTTTATTCCATCCTGTTTTACTAGGTGGTTGAAATGATGAGCTAGTGTGCTCAACAGTGCAGAGCCCTCCCCCCACCGCTGTTTGACTGGGTTGCTTTCAATTAGATGAATACCTAATGAGTTTGGGTTGACAGCGCTGGTCCCAGCATCATTTGCAAATCCGAGAAAAGTATCGTCACTTGGCATGCAGGGGGACTGCCAGGACACAGGCCAACTCGCTGCAGAGGTGGTTGAAGAATGTGGAGCTCTGTGTACTGCGGGGATCTCATCTGTTTACTTTGTCAGCCACACCTCAGAATTTCAGGGCTCCTTTACTCCCACTAACTCATAGAAATGATAGTATTCCATACTCAGAGAGTACTCAGATAAGGCAGGTGTTTGTTCCCCACAGATGTGGCACAAGAGTGAGTGATATCTTACATTTGTCAGAACTATGGAGGATCAGAGAGTTTGGAACAGTACCATTTTATGAGTTACTAGAGGCTCTGAAAATGAAATGATTATGCAGGATGTTACTGAGAGAGTCTAGTGTGGATTATCTCTTCTGGCTTCTGTGTACCTATTTACTCTGCTGAACTGGACCAGGGATGCATGGTCACAGCAGATAGAACGGGAGTAACAGACCTCTGCTTGAGGAACACCCACAAATCGGGCTGCTGGCAGAGGAGGAGCCGACAGCCACAAATGGGAGAGAAAGAGAATTTATTTACTATATTAATCACACAGCGTTTCTTTACACAACCAAAGAAGATAACTTCCATATTAATCACTTTACCAGCAGTTAAGATTTATTGCTCATGAAACATCTTCTGTAACCTCTTGAGTCCAAATTGCTATTTTAAAACAGTGTTGGGATAGAGGTTATTTATCCCAGTGCAGTTTTAAAACAGCAGTGGGAATCAGCAGCTCCTGTAGGTTTAGGAATCCAGCATAAGCCCAGGAGCTACAAAGATCAGCTCCTGGGCTTCAGATGACATTAGGGATGCACCAATACTAGTATCGGTGCCGATGCAGAGTACTCGGCCAAATGCTCCGATACTTAGCCCGATACCTAAGCTTCAAGTATCAGGTTGGCCAGAAAGCCGGCTCCATGCTTTCTCGTCACCTGGGGGACGAGAGAGCATGGAGACAGCTTCCCTGCTAATCAGGAAGCCGGGTGGCGAGTCTTTACACGCCGCCCGTCTTTCCGGCTAATCAGGAAGCGAGTCACTACACGCCGCCTGGCTTCCTTAAAATGGGACTTCCGGTATTGGTATTTGGGATCGGCGAGTACCAGGAAAAAAATACTCGCACTCAATACCGAAAAAACGGTATCGCGCGTCCCTACTCTGCATGATAGCATATTTCTGCTGACAGGTCCTTTTAAGGAGACATCAAGGGTCTATTAGACCCCTAATGTCATCTATGGACCCCAATGTAGCCGATCAAGCACAGATCGCGCTTGATCAGCTTCTTTCCGTGCCAGCACTGCTGGGAAATGACAGCTGTGAACTCGGAAGTGAACCAAATGCTCATCGCATCCGGGTTCATTTACCAAAGAGATGATCAATGAATGGATTTTCGCTGATCTCCCTCTGCTTTACCCTCCGGCTCCCACCACGCCCATCCCAGGCATGCTGGAGGGACAACAGAGCCCTGGATACATGGAGGGAGTAGTTGGGCAGGGGTACCATAACCTCCATAGTGTGTGGAAGTGATCAAGTTGGCTTGACAGTTGCAAACACAGTACCACACAACAGCCAGGAGTGTTTAAAAGCCCTTGCTACCAGCTCTTGCTTATAAATGGTGTTTGTAGACATGGGGTTAATCACATGTAAAAAGACAAGAATATAAAGTTATAATGCACAATCCCAGATGACACCAATGAGAAACAATACAATCTGATTCTTCAAACTCTTAGATCTAGCAACACATATTAAGCAAGGGTCTGCCTGATTAGATATAAACTGCCAGAGTAGAATTGGTAAGCCCTCATATTACATAGCTTTGACAGATCCAAAGTTGATTGTACAGAGATTGCACAGTCAAATTATAATGTGTATGGTAAACCTTAGAATTCTCTAGGGATATATTTAAACAGCCTACGATTAACCCATGAGACTGATATGCACTACTGCATATACTTTGCTTGAAGAAAAAAAAAACAACAACCAGTCAGCAGTGAACATTAATATATTTTTCTTATACAAGCCACATAAAAGGGGATGGGATTATGGATACCACGCTGGGTTAAAAAAAAAAAAGAATATAGTTAAAACAACTCTATATTAGTAAATCATAAAAGGACATACCAAACGGTTTTCATCAAATACTTCAAAGAGAAGTCTGTGCTTTTTTGGGTGCACCTGGAAAAGAAAATAAGGTGTGTGTGCAGTATTCATTACGCCACAAAATGTTATAAAAACATTCAGAGTTTTGAAAAGATGAAAAAGATTAGACACAAGCAAACCATACAGAGGACAATTTGAATATATATTTTGTAAACTGTAGCGTAGTATTTAGTTAAGTAATTAATTGAAGGTGCTATGTTTACATATCAGAGCACTTTTTTCAACAGAAGGAACAGCTTCTAAGTTTTCTGTACTGCCTGCTACAAACTTTTGCACTTCTATTGCTAGGTGACTTTTCTTACCATTCTACATACGAGGTAAAACTAATCTAAGGTATCTGTCATGTTCTTTATGTTGCATATGTTGGCTGGGATGGAGTCCAATTAGCAGTCATTTTATTGAGAAAACAATTATCCATGTGATTTGTACACATTGCGAATTTAGCACACCAAATTGCGAAGTTTACCTTGGTTTTTATTTAACTTTTCATTTACAAAGAGCAGGAGAAATGAACATACATATAACAAGACCATCTCCAGTGTTACATAATAATATGCATGTAAATTCTGACTAACAAATATCCTGTATCTTAGAGCCTGTTCGCACACGATAATGCACAGACCTGCTTGCATACATATAATCGTGTTGCGATTGAAAAAAATAGCTCTTAAATGGGCCCTCAGAGAAAGCGGAGGCCGCTACCCACATTTCAGACCCGCACAACCCTCTCCACTGATTCAGGACGAGCAGGCATGCAGGCATTAGGGTAGTCGTCTCTCTCGGTGAACCTGATTTAGGCATACCAGGTAACTTGGAAATGTATCCAGTTTATCATTTTGAGACGCAGTTAAATCCTCCATCAGTCTGATTTTGTTCACACTACGGAACGGTTAGGCCCTGTTCAAACCTTTACGTTTTGTCGCGCGTTCAAGGCTCTATGAACGCTCTACAAAACGTACAAACATGAAAATCCCATTGTTTTCTATGGGTATGGTTCACACCTTCCGTATTTCCGCCCGTCTGAACGCCCTACAAAACGGCCTACGCCCAAACAAGTACATGTACTTCTTTGGGCCGTTTTTGTTGGGCGTTTCCATTGGGATACAGCCAAGTAGCCCTCGGAAACGCGCGTGTGTCAGCACCTCCAATCCGTGCCCCAAGGGGAAGATTTTATTGTTTATTATAGACGTCTCAGAATTGATTGGGCATGTCTGACGATTTTGCTAATTTCCAATTGTCCCATGACAAGAGCTGTTACACAGTTACATGATTTGTTGGCTCTCAGTGCATTAGCTAGTAATTTCCTTGTTTTCTTGCCTGTTTATCTGCCTATTTTATAAGTCTATCTCCCATTAGACATTTGGGCTTCAACTCTATCTAACAGATCTGCTCTCGTTTTAGTCAGTTCAGAGAGGGTACCACTGTCCAGTGATGTTTTATTGTGCAATTCTAGGAACTTAAGCTTGTGAAATAACCCTTTTGATTTGCTCAGCTCTCTGTTATTCACTTTTCGTACCTAGTATTAGGAGTATCCCCCTATTATAGCACTTATGTGCCTCCCACAGAAAAAGGGAACTCCGACCCTGTTGTTCATTGTTAAGAATTAATGAAGTTCCTGTTTAATTTCTGTCGCATTTTGCAAAAGAACTGCTGGGATTTGTAGTCCTCTATCGCTAATGGTATTATTGTGCGTGGCTGTATAATGCATTGCTGAGATTTGTAGTCCTCTAATGCTGATGGTATTATTCTGCATTGCTATATAATGTATTGCTGAGATTTGTAGTCACTTTACAGCTTGGAGTCAGTGGCAGAACTGCCAGGGGTGCAGCATTTGCAACTGGGACCGGGCCCTGGTGCTCCCCCACTGTACTAAAAACATTAGTTTGCATTGTTTTAAAAAAAAAAAATCAGTAATTGGTACTGACGAGGACTTGAGGAAAAGTATCAGTACTCCGTCTAGAAGAAATTGTATCTGTGCATCCCAACTCCCGTCCATGCCCATACGAAGATACAAACTGACTATTATAAAGGGGAGGAGGGCTATAGAGTAAAAGGGTGTGGAACTGTTTAAAAAGAAAAAAAAAAAAACTACTTGCCAAGGAAAAAAGCGGGTGCCCAATCTACTTGTCCCTCATGACAATCTATCTAAGGCGCGCTTTCGTCAGGTGACCCGCGGATCAACGAGTGCTCGCAATTTGCAAGCAAAATTCAAAATCTATAGTGCAGGGCTGTGCTGGACAGCAGTATAGGGTACAGATAGTACACCCATACGGCACAGCGGGGGGACTGTTTGCCGAAAGGTAAGTATAGGGGGGGCAGATTTTAGAGGGTAATTCAATTTTTTAAAATTACTTGGAAAAGTGAACTTACCCTTTAATGCACATTATACGCGTTTTAGAGAGCGCTGCTGCCCGGCTAGCACAATAGGGCACACAGTGGAATGGGGGCAACACACACACACAATACCCTATGCATGTGTTTTTTATAATTCTTTACTTTTTATTACATTTTAATTTTATTATTTTTTACTTTTTATAAATTTTTTCATTTATTTTATTTTTTTCAAATAACTTTATTGCTATCACACAGCGGTTAACAAGCCCCTGTGTGATAGTATTCGGAGGTGACAGGTTCTCGTTATGAGCCTGCTCTCCAATATAGAAGATCCAGCACATAAACTGGATCTTCTGTATATCTCCACTTGTGACAGCTGACACAGGAGCGCTGCGAGTACATAGGTCCTGTGTCACTGATCACAGAGGAGAGAACAGACACTCTCTGTCCTAGAGGCATTTGCCGTGGTCCGGGTCCCCCAGAAGAGCAGGGGACCCTCGAAAACCATGGTGCAGCGGGAGGCAGCCGACAGGGGGACAGAGCATGGAGGGAGGGGGACGGACAAACAAGCTGATTACAAGTGGAAAAAAAAAAACACCTGCCCGGCGTCCAAAACTGCATGTCCCGTGCATCAGGATTCCGCACCCCTGAAAAAGGTGAGAGGGAGAGATTTGTAATCCATATCAGAAGAGCAGCCTACGATGACAAGGCTGCTCTTACATACATGAAGTACGAGTGAGTTTTGTCACTCTAGAAAAAGGAACTGCGTAACTGGCAGGATCGCCAGGTGAAAATAAAGAAAAAGGGAAGAAATGCACTTGTCACATCCAAGGATGTTAAGCTGCATTATTTACATTTGTTTTTGGGATTGAATATGCTTTAATTTTCAGTATTGTGCTGTTACATTCAGGCCCCTTTAACATAGTTCATATAATGTAATAGGGAGATCACCAGACATACACAAAATAGTGGATGTGCATGTTAGTGAAGGGAGGATCACTTAAGGGTTCCATGTAAAACAGTCAGATTTCTTCTTCTACAGCCAAATAAGAGCATACTCATTTGCAAAGGAAATTCAAGTTAAAAATGGACTACAGTAGAAGCATTTCACAAATAAACAATACATAAATACGCTACTTACTCTGAGTAATATTTCCTCATTCCACTTTGGATTTAAGCTCTGAAATAAAAAAAATGTTCAAAAAGGTGTTTGCCATTTTTAATTCAAAAAATATTTTAAAATCATACAATATAATCATTATATAAACCTCAGCAAATACTAGATATCCCCAGTTATTCAGTAAACAGGACACTAGCTGTACGAGCTCTGTGTTACAATAAGTTAAGGAACGCAAGTTTAAATAAACTAATATAATTTAAAAGTGACTTAAAAGTTTCTGCTCGGACTAGCCTTCAGATCAAACATTCTTTGGATTAAAAGTTATTTTCTGCATTCATTATCTTGCTATATTTCAAAAACAATATTTTGCAATCTTTGTGGTCTCCTTACAAGCATTTTGTAATTTTTTTTTAAAGTACCACCTTATATACACACATTTCATAATTATTTAGCTTGTCTTCCATTAGAAAAAGTAATGGGGCAATCTTTATGGACAGCCTCTCTAAATGCTTTCATACCTTTATTCTCTATTATACATTTTAGGGATGCACCGATACCGTTTTTTTCCGGTATCGAGTGCGAGTACTGATATTTTTTTTCAGTACTCGCCAATACTGAATACTGATGCTGGAAGTCCCATTAAGGAAGCCGGGAGGCTTGTAATGACTCGCCACCCGGATTCCCGATAAGCAGGCAAGCCATCTCCATGCTCCCTCGTCACCAGGTGACGAACAAGCATGGAGCCGCCTTTCTGGCCAATCAGGATGCCGAGGGGGTGAGGGTCATAATGACTCACTGCCTGGCTTCCTGATTGGTTGAGAAGCTGACCAATCAGGAGCGGAGTAGCGAGTGATTACACACTGCCCGGCTTCTTGATTGGCCGAGAAGCCAGCTCGATGCTCCCTGGCCAATTAGGAAGCCGGGCAGCTTGTAATGACTCACTGCCTGGCTTCCTGATACAGGAAGTTCTAGCATCAAGACCATTTGGACGAGTACGATTACTCGCCCAAATACACGGTAACGCTGCCTCACTAATACATTTCTAAGGCACTAATGATAAAGGAATATTAGTACGTGAGGTTGCCATTTCCTTGACAATCTTGCTATGATCTTGAACCCATTTCCCATCATAATTGGTCCTCAGTTACACATCACTTGGGTGTGTCAGGGCCCTACCTGCACTGTAGGGTAATACAGAATCAGGAGACCTAAGTGTAGACATTAGAAATCGTATACTTAAAGTTTATTGGGATGCAATTATTGAAATCTCATCTTTTCTATAACGTTCGAACGTAATCTCAAAAGTTACTTTCAAGGTTTTTCTTTATTCTTTTTATTTGCAGCCCTGTCCTTGCCTCCCAACTGCTCTCCTGTGTTGCCACCCTGTCATTTGTGCTTTCACTAGAGACTAAAAGTAGCTGTGTTGACATTCATTGCTCAGGCATGTTGAACATTTCTACCATCAGCAGTTGCAATGAAACAGGGAGAAGGAGTTAAGCAGCACTTAGATCCAAGAAAAGGTGAACAATAAGAAAAAAACGAAGGCACTTTTTTTATGGTACATGGTGCTTTAGTATCATCAATTTAGAGTGTAGATTTATACCAGTTATATATCCACTTTTCACTAGACGGACATGCTTTTTAGTGTTTAAAATTGGACAAAACAGCTATGACCTGTCGAAGCATGGACTCCACTACACCTCTTGAGGTATGCTGCAGTATCTGGCACCAAGCCATCAGTAGCAGATCCTTTAGGTCCTGTAAGTTGTGAGGTGGGGCCTCCATGGATCAGACTTGTTTATACAGCACATCCCACAGAGGCTCGATTGGATTGAGATATGAAGGTCAAGTCAACACCTCAAATTCATTGTTGTGTTTCTCAAATCATTCTTGAACCATTTTTGCAGTGTGGCAGGGCCATTGTCTCACTAAAAGTAGCCACTGCCATCAGGGAATACCATTTTCATGAAGGGGTGTAACTCGGTCAGCAACAATGTTTAAGTAGGTGGTATGTGTCAAAGTAACATCCACATGAATGACAGAACCCAAGGTTTCCCAACAAATCATCACACTGCCTCTGTCAGCTTACCTTCTTCCTATAGTGCATCCTGGTGTCATCTCATCCCCAGGTAAGCCACACACACCCACCCGTCCATCCACATGATGTGAAAGAAAATGTAATTCAACAGACCCGGCCACCTACTTCTATTGCTATGTGGTCCAGTTATCATGCTCATTGTAGGTGTTTCCGGAGGTGGACATGGGTCAGCATGGGCACAGTGACCAGACTGCAGCTACGCAGCCCCATACACAACAACCTGTGACGCAGTGTGTGTTCAGACACCTTTCTATCGGAAACCAACATTAACTTTTTTAGCCATTAGAGCTACAATAGATCTTCCATTGGAATGGATTACACAGGCGGGCTATCACTCCCCACGTGCTTCAATAAGACTTGGCCGTCCGACCCCGTCATTGGTTCACTGGTTTTCCTTCCTTGGACCACTTTTGGTAGGTTCTGGCCACGACAGACCGGGAACATCCCACAAGAGTTGCAGTTTCCTCCAGCTGTGTGAGTGGTTACTGAGACAATGGGGGTGATTTACTAACCTAAAACACACGCACGCACCAGGTGCGTGTGATTTTCACACAGCAAAACGTATTTATCAACCAAAAAGTATCTAAAAGCATATTTCCACTAATGCCATATATGGAAAAATCATGCATATGATGCATATATAATGCTGCTTCACAGTTTAGACAAAAATGGTTAGCTCATGCATTTACATTCCTGCATTCATCAACGCAAGCAACACAACATAGAGCTAATTTACACAACATCACCTTGCAATTCATGCAAGGCTTTGCACAACACACCTGCTGGGTGTGTACACACTACAAAGGTGTTTAGATTCCACCCATAGATCATGCTGGGAGGGAACACACTACAGAGGTGTATACATGTTCGTGGTGTGTTTATAAGGTTAGTAAATCAACCCCAATGTGTTTTGAAGGCAGATTCCCCTTTCTCAAGCCTCATAAAAAAAGAGAAATCCACTTCTGAAATGCAATACCATGGTAGCCACTCACACAGCCGGAGGAAGTGGACGTGTACATGAACCTATTGAAAACCTGCTGTGCTCCAGCATGGAACTTAACAACAGTACAGACACATGAGTTTTACCATGGTTTCCCCAGTCTGATAGTTCATCTGGAGGTGGTAGAGGACGAATGAGCTGTTAGCAATTTCGCAGTGTGTGGCAATGTACAAGTGCATTACCTGCTACAATTATGCAAGTGCATTTCTTGTTTTAGTCATTACTTTTCAATAAAGTTTGTATTGCGCTAGAGCTTTGTGCCTCCTTTCCCTTTCATATTTCGAAGAACAAAAGCATCCCTTGTGCCTTTGAGGAGAGCTGCGAATGGATCTGGACTCACAAAGAGGCATACACCAGTGTTTTTCTAACCAAGACTACACTCTGCCTGTTAAGGACTAATTAAGCATGGATCTGCTGTACTGTTTGTAGGGAAATGGGGCTTGTTGGCAGAGGTCCGATGGAGCAGGGCTCAAAATTTCCACCAGGAGAAGAGGGCACCTGAATCAGGTCAGCCATGTGCACTGTAAGTCCCTGTTATTTCTGCCTTAAAAGGAGAACTATGAGGTGAGTGATTTTCACTCACCTCATAGTTCTATCCGACCTGTGACAATGAGACTGTCACAGGTCGGCTCAGTAGATCGCTCACTTCTCGATCCTCTCACAGCTCTCTGCCGTGACAGGGGAGTGGCTGGACTCCGCCCCTCCCCGCTCCGATCCTCCAGCGCTGACTGGCGGAACGGACGGGGGAGGGGGCGGGTACAGCTGGCTCTGCCTCTAGATAGGCAGAGCCAGCTGTCACTCACGCAGCTGGGCGGATCCAGACATAATTGTCGGGATCCGCTTCAGCTGCGGCGTCTCAGTATACCGCGAGCTGTTGTTTCCCTCAGCTTGTACTTTTGCAGAAGGTTCTCCATCTCTATCTTGTTAGAATGTGCAACTTTTGATTTGTGGTAGAAATGTCCATCTGTGCAGATTTCAGTGCATCCTCCCCCACTCTGCCCTCTAACTAGGTGGTTCTTTAGGTAGGTGGGAATATGTTTTTCAAATCATGGCATAGTAAATATAACTCTTCCTTTATGCCATTGTAAACTCAGGGAAGTTAGAGATGAGTTTTCTTTTTTGATTACAATAAGAACATCAGTCATGAAGGGTTCAGTATCCACACTAGAAATGCAGGAGGGGACATCTGGGTGCATCTGTGTTCCTCTATAGCCTCCAAGCCACATATTGTATGGGGATCAGGAGGTATGGACAGAGCTGGAAACTCTGGCCAGAAGGGCTAATCGGGGAGTTTGAATAATAAAATAACATGCATACCTACCTTCTTTATAGTTTTTGTTTGAACACTGGTCACTATTCCATGTTCTGTACCATAAAGTGTCAATTTCACATATGGGTCACTGTAAAACAATTTTACAAATGGGTTATTGTTTTAAAAATAGAATAGAATCAAATATTAAAAACAACAAAGCACAATTAAAGGGAAATTTTGCTCCTCTATTAGCCAATATCTCTCCCTTGAACTGGCCCCATCACTCACATAAAGACCAGCCCATTAAAACACAAAAGGCACCAGACTGACTTTTCCGGTGATCATATCTTGAAACGCAGCTGCTTTAGTGTTCCCGGCTGCTAAACATATTCCACACTTTCAGTTGTGTGAATACCTGCTCCTCTCCCATGTGGAAGAAATGTAATAAAATTAGGAGCTGTATGCAGCTACCACTCCACCTCAGCTCAATGGTAGGTGAGCGCACAGAGCATGGCCAAGGCTCACTCCCAAGGATTTTAAAGTGGGGCAAGCACAGTCAACAAATTATTCTTGGTGTCTGGTTTAGGAGATGCTAATATATACTGTAGCAGCCCATTCAGTTTAAAAGAACACTTAAGCCATGTATGTCATATCAGAGTTAATTTTTTTTGGGATATAGGAGCAGTAGAACCTACAACCACAAGTGGACAAAATCTACTGAAATCAATATAAAAGTCTCAATAAAGATGGGCTGTAGCTGTATTTTTAGATCTACTGGCCTTCTGGCTCCTAGTACTTATGTACACAGCATATCATAAATATTTTTTACATTGCTTTTTCTAACAAGTCAGGCCAGATTTTAAAAATCAGAACCTGTTCTCAGTGATCGGTTACATTTCGCTTTCAGAATTCACACAGCTTTTAAACCACATGTTCAGTAATTTTTCCTTCAGGGGTTCTGGGTTTTCAAAGCATCGGTGGATCTTTATTAGCCTTGGAGAGATACCATGGTTACACACTGTGGTCCCCAATAAGCAGCTTATGAGCTATACGTGCTTCTCATTAGCCTTATGCTGTTGCCAAAAGCAGCTTTAAAACACCTCTCTGGCCTTAACACTTTGCATGTTCTGCACTTCAAACAAACATGACAACAAAGACTATCTTGTGTAAATAATTGAATTACACAGGAAAACACAATGATTATGTTTTTGATTTGTCTTGCTTAGTGCGGCTCTTTGTTACCTGTCCAATTAAAAACTCAAATGAACCTGTTTTATACCCCTAACACATACATAATGTTATTTTAAAATGTAATCTCTTGATCTGGGGACAACTCTAAAGTGCTGGATTTCTCCTCCACGTTCCTTCTTTGTGATGATAGTCACCTGCACAAACAGAGCTGTTGATCTCCCAAAATTTGACAGGGGGTCAAAACCCTTTCCATGCTCTTTAAAAAAAACTAAAACAAAAAAGGTTTTTGCCTAGAAATACACTATCTGACGTTTTTATCAGACGTTTAGATAATTAAATAAATAGCCCTATAGTTAAGAGGAATGTAATTGCCTACAGCACACCCGTTATGCAAACCCAGGAGCTGAAAGACAGCATTTATTATCAACATTATTAGAGCTAGAGTAAGCAGAGCAAAAAAAATGGCAGCATGGTGTGTGCAGAAGACAAGGTAAGTGGATGACAAAAGTATGGCATGTGCTTATGAACTGAATAATGAAGTAATTCTCAGTAAGCATAATCTGCCACCATATTTCTGTCATAGCTAAAACCGGCCACTGACCGCTGCAATTTTTGTGTCACAAAACAACCTCTTGCGCAAGTTGACGGAGGCTCAGTTTTCTGCTACATTTGTCCAAACTCCCTATTTTTATGGTTTATACAATACATCAATAAAAAATATTTTATATAATTTATTTATTTTTATTAAATATTTAAATTTTTAACTTTACTTTTAGGGGCTTCTGGGAAATATTAGGGGTCTAAAACAGACCCCTGATATTTCCCTTTTAAAATAGAAAAAGAGATGGAAAGCAGAAGCTGTTAGGAGGAACACCCCCAGTTAAAAATAATTTTTAAAAAGTGCATATGGTTCCCCCCAAAAGTCATACTAGGCACTTAAGGTCTGGTAGGAATTTTGAAGGGGAACCCCACTGCCCAAAAAAATGGAGAAAAAAAAAAGTGGCGTCCCCCCTAAAACTCCAAACCAGACCCTTAATCTGAGAACTGGTCCTGCACCATACCAGGGCACGTGCCCTTGGCATCAGGAGGGTGCTTTTCTGCTCGGCTAAATAAATTTAAAAAAAAACCAATGCCCGCCGACCTGACCACACATGACAAACTCCCGCAGCAAAATGAAATTTTGCAGAGCGAATGACAACAAATGGGCGGAGTCAGGTGTGACATCACAGATGGATCTATCTAGGGCTGCAACAACTAATCGACATAATCGATTAATCGGCTTCCGATCAGTTGGCCCTGTTCACGGGTCCACAAACGCTGCGCGCCGCTACCCGCCCG